AAAAGACAAACAAGCCAGTTTTAAAAAATGGGCCAAGGGCTTGAACAGACACTTCTCCCAAGAAGATATACAAAGGACCAACAAGCATATGAAAACATTCAACATCTTTAGTTATTAGGGAAATGCAAATCACAAGGAGATACCACTCTGTACTCACTAGGATGGTTAGAATACAAGTCAATAAGTACTGGCAAAGATTTGGAGAAATCAGAACCTTCACACATTGCTACAGGGAATGTAAAATGGTATAGCCACTGTTGAGAACAGTTTGGTAGTTGTTCTAAAAGTTAAATATACAATTACCATAGGACCCAATCCTAGGAAGATACCCAAAAGAATTGAAAATAGGAACTCAGACAAATACTTGTACACATGAATGTTCATAGCAGCACTATCTGCAAAAGCTAAAAGGTAGAAATAACGCAAATGTCTATCAGTGGATGAATGGATAAACAAAATGTGGTACATCCATATACTATATTATTATTCAGTCATAAAAAGGAATGAACTATCGATAACATGCTACAACATGAACAAGATTGACAACATTATGCTAAGTTAAAGAAACTAAATACAAAAGGTTACATATGATTCCATTTATATGAAATATTCAGAAGAGATAAATCCATAGACAAGAGAAAGCAGACTGGTATGAGGCCAGGGGCTAGGGAGAGAGAGAGATGGGAACTGACTGCTTAATGGGTATGAGGATTTTTGGGGCAATGAAAATACTTCAAAATTTTCTATCAGTGGTGGATGAACAATGTTGTGAATGTACTAAATGTCAATGAATTGAACCCTTTAAAAGATGGTTAATTTTATGTTAGTTGAATTTCACCTCAGTAATTAAAAAAGGAATATGATGATAGTTTTTTCTACTAACCCGATGAATAATTCCAGCAGAGTGAAGGTGCTTGATTCCACACAGCATCTGATAGAGAAGGTAGGACATTCTTTCATGATCTAGTTCCATCTGAATCACTTGGCAAAGATTTGCGTCCATGAGCTCCATGACTATGTAACTTCATGGGTGAAAAAAGATGACAGCTAAAGTGTACAGCAACAATCTAAGAATAATGTACGAACATAAAATTTTAATTGTCAAACTTACACATCTTGAAATTCTTCTAGGGATTTCTGTGGTGTGAAAACATTCAAAAGGCCAATTATCTGTGGCAAAAGCAAAGAGACAGAAAAATTAGACACCACTGCTACTAATAATACTTTCATTTAGGAACTGCAAATACATGGGTTAAAAAAAATCCACTGTCAGTATAAGAATTTTAAAATCTTATGTTGTAAGCCCAAGTAATTTCTCTTACTTTACATATTAAAACTTTATGGCCAGGGATTGGGGGTAGGGAGGGAACCAAAGCACGCAGGATCTTTAGGGAGGTGAAAATACTCTGTATGATACTATAATAGTAGATATTATGTCATTACACATTTGTCCAAACCCAAAGAATGTACAACACCAAGAGTGAACCCTAATGTAAACTATGGACTTTGAGTAAAAATGAAGCATCAAGTGATTATAACGAATGTACCAGTTTGGTGGGGGATACAGATAATGAGGGAGGCTATGCATGTGTGGGGGCAGGGGGTATATGGGAGATCTCTCTACCTTCCTCTCATTTTTGCTGTGAACCTAAAAATGCTCTTAAAAAAAAAAAAAGCCTTAAGAAAACTGTATCAACAGAAGAGCTCCACATATCCATTCCATTAATGAATACTCAATTATCAAGGACTTATATTATACAATCCTCTGTGTAATTTGTAGGCAAATTTTAAACACCTTCTACTAGCTCTTACCTAACCTAATACCTGTATATAATCTCAGCCCTCCCTGCAATGCCCTCAGTTTTTCATAATAATGAACTTGCCCAGTTTTCTGCATTCTCAGTCTATTCACTGGTTCATCCACAGGCATGCCCTCTTTCCTACCATTCTGTCTTTAATCCTTTTCTCTACCTGTACCCTTTCCCTGGGCAATATATGGTTTTTTGGTTTTGGTTTTTTTGTCTAAACATTTCTATGTGGATAATTTCCAAATACACATTAAAAGTCCTTGCTTAGTTTGCAAGTCTCAAATATATATTGCCTATATATTGCCACTTCACATGAAAATCTCACAAATATAAAATTGAACTCATTATCATTCCTACCCAAACCCTTTACTTTTCCAGAGTGCCTTCTCTTTTACAAGAGAAGGCTCACAGTGATTTTTGACTTTTTCAGTATTTGCACCAAAATAAAATACTGCAAATAAATATTTGCACCATAAAAAATACTATCGCATTCTACTGTCAGCTGACCTTCAACCTCTTCTTCCCATTCCCTGTGCTACTATATAGATAGAGGATTCTCACATCTCATCTAGACTGTTCATGCTATAATTACTTCTAACATTAACGTTCCCTAAACAATGATTTCCATTTTATTGCCTATAATATGGTAAAAGAAAGACCTGATCATATTACTGACCTCTTCAAAAACTTAATGCCAGAAAAAAAATTCCAAAACTCCCTTGCAATACATTCAAAGCCTTCCTTCCATGACAGAACATCAACCCAGTTCATCGCCTGCTAAGCTCTCTGTTAAACTTGATACTTCAGCCATCCTAAATAAGTTTAAACATAATGTTATCTTTAAAAAATTTCAATGCCTTTAAACATACTCTTCCCTGTACTTGTCATATTTACCTACTGAATTCAGTTACCTTCAAAACTGATGTCTTTTGTAGAGTCTGACAACCTCTAGTCCTTGACAGGTTGCTGAATATTTTCTTTACTTAGTCCCCACAATATCTTACATGTTATTATGGCACTTAACACAGTGTCGTATAGTTTCATTTTCACAACAGCCTCATCCCAATCACACCAGGATCCTTGTTAGAAAGAAATATTCACTTTTTCAGCCCTAGTACCATAGGGAGATACCTAACACACATCTTAAAACGTTTGTTGACAATTAGGAATGGGAAAGTTTTTCTAGACCAACTTCATGAGGGCAGAATCTATGTCATTCATCTAAGCATAAAGCTTTGCTTATAGAAGGCATTCAAAGTATTTGTTCAGTGAATAAACTCAGAGAAATAATTTCCAGATCAGAAGAGGTCAAACAAATTTGTTTAAGATAGGGAGGGTGATAATAAGAATGTATCTAGCTGCTCTAAATGAATTAATTCCTGACTTCTAAATAGATGAACTGCACATCTAGAGACTCGGAGAAATAGTAAAACTGTTCATATCTGAGAAATTCTAGAGTAGAAGAGAAGTGTTAAAGATGAAAAGCATATAAAGACAAAAGATTAGTGGTTGCTTAGAGCCAAAGGTTGTGGGAGATAGGAAAATGAGAGCTAAACAATATGGAGAATCTTTCTGAGGTGAAGAAAATGTTCTAGAACTATGGAAAGTCAAATACATCTGTGAATATACTAAAAACCACTGAATTACACGCATTAAATGAATAAACTGTACGGCATGTGAACTGTATCTCAAAGAAGCAGTTATAAAATAAAAAATTAAGACAGACAGTTGTCTTACTTTTCAAAAAGGAAAATAAAGGAAATTATACTACTCATAGACTGGACGGTCAAACAAAAGTCAAGGACTGATTAAGTGGGTGATATATAAGTACTCTGAAAGAAGTAACACTTACTAGGAGCAGGTAAAAATTCACTGAGAAACTGTACTTCCTTCTGTGAATAAAACAACGACAACAAAGAATAGCAGCAGTAGATCAGAAACGTGACCAGATAAGTATATGAAGATTTCAAAAAGGCATTTTTGAAAATGTCTCCAGTCATATATCCATGTGAATAAGATGAAGAATTCAGGAGAGATGGGTAATTTTTATAGTTACACATGTCATTTTGTGGTATGCCAAGAGTCACTAATGAACTAATCCAGCTATTATGAAGGCACCCTGAGCAAAACTGGAATATGAAACTAGCAAGTGAAAAGTCAGAACAAAGAAAAAGCAATCCCCAACAGTCTGGGAAGAGTAACCAGATTTCGTATGTGAAATTCTAGGGAGAAATAGGAAGTACTATACTTAACCTCCAAAACCAAAAGATAGTAAGTAAAAGATGGGGGGGGGCACCTGGCTCGCTCAGTCTGTACAGCATGCGACTCTTGATTTGGGGGTTATAATAAAATCTTTAAACAACAAAAAAGAAAGTAAAAGATGGGAAAGATGTAATCTATTAGCAGGCCTGTGACAAAGAATAACTTGCTAAGACAATGTGAATCAAATGGTGACCTGATTTCTAAACAGGATTATAATGTCCATGGTTAAGAGGAGATGACATGCCTCAGTTCTCTTGGAGAATTCAATCAGACATGAAGTACTGTGTGCTAGGTGACATACCAAAGTACATTCAGAAAAAAACAAACTCAAAAGCATCTATGAAAATAGCGGGAAATACAAAACAATATGAATGTACCTAGTACCACTGAAGTGGATGCTTAAAATGGCTAAGATAGTGAGTTTTATGTTATGTGTATTTTACCACACACACACAAAAAAAAGAGGTGAGAAAAAATAGAGATTTTTAGACCAACGAAGAGATGATCTGTGTGGAACATGAAACTGCTGAAAAGGTAAGACATTACAAAAACATCCATCCATTAGGAGTATAAAAATTCCATTATCATTCCTGGTTTCCCTATACAGTTGACCCTTTGAACAACATGGGTTCAAACTGTGTAGGTTCATGTATACATGGACTTTTTTTGATAAATACAGTACAGTACTGTGTAAGAATTTTCCTTATGATTTTAGTAACATTTTTTCTCTAGCTTACTTTAAGAATACAACACATATAGTATACAAAATGTGTCTTAATCGACTATTGATGTTATCGGTAAGGCTTCCAGTCAACAGTAGGCTATCAGTCGTTAAGTTTGGGGTTGTCAAAGTTATATGCAAAAAAAAAAAAAAAAAAAAAAGTTATATGCAGATTTCAACTGCACAGAGGATTGACATCCCTCCCACATTATTCAAGGGTTAACTGTATTTAGTTTTACATTCAGTCTCTGAACAAATATGTTTTGAGCACCTACTCTATGTCAGCACTCTTGTAGGTGCCAAGGGTACTGCCTGCATAGACCTTGCCATCCCCATTAGAGGGTTAACTATGTGAAACAGGCTTTCCATGCCCTCCATCTAGTCGATGGAACCATCTTTTTTTGCAGTCACCCAGGCACAGGAAGTAGGAGTCATTGGCCATGTCCCCAGTGCAAAACAAAGGCAGTATCACCACCATCATCGCCATGAAACAGACTACAAGGGGGCATGAGCAGCTAAATCTGAGGGTAGGAGGTTACCAACAAAACCCTGACAAGCAACATGGCTGGCTCCCATCCAGAACAAGAATGGCTGACACAATTTGTTCCCTGTCCCTGACTTTAATCTATACCTCTTTTTATATGCTGTTCTTTCTCTCTGGGAGGCCCTTTTCCTTCAACAATCCAATTTTTACCCCATTTTTAAGAATTAGTCTAGGGCCACCTTTCCCCAAAGCTTTCCCATTTCATGAAAGCTCATGCAATCTTCTCTCCTGAAAGCTCAGCACTTATTTTCCATCTACCACAATTTGACAATCAAACTTCCACTGCTTTATATCATATTTGATATTTCACTATGTATTTGTCTTCAAAATAACACTATATGTTACCCCAAATAAGGAGCCTCACCCTTAACTTCCATGAATTTTTCCCCTCAGTGACTAATCTACTAACTCCAGTACACAGAAGGCTTGCATAGTTAGCTCTCAAAATGTGGTAAACTGTGTTATCTGCAATCAGAAAGCACTGAGCTTATTTTATTTTATAAACTCCTTTGTACAAATACCACAAGACATCTCTGGTCAGATGCTTTTGGTTTAGTACTTCATAAAACTGTCCCTTACACAATTCACTCCTAGTTTATTTCCTCTCGGCTGAAATTACTCCATTAAAATAATCATAAAAGTATGCTTAAGTTTAAAAAAGTGTAACTATTTCTTCTCAAAATGAGTGAAAGTTATATGTTTAAGTCATTATAATCATTAGGAAAAAGAATTAGGGATATTTTCCTAATTTCATTTAAATATTTTTTGAAGTTTCTGCTAAACTGCTTTATAAAATCACAGACTATCTTCAACCTAAAGTGACCAGTGAGTATCAGCATCACTTTAAAAAGTGGGAGTAGGGTAGGGAGAAATGATTTGAATTTTATATCTAATATTAGTAAATAAAATTCCAGTGTCAAAGTAAAATGGCAACAATTTCATCTCTGTGCTAAGGCTACAGTCTTCTGAAATGTCAGCCTGAGAGAAAACAAAAAGTAGAAGATGAGATCAAGCCTAAATAAAGTTCTTTTAAAACACCTACTTCTTTTAAAACTCCTTTTGCAAATTAAATGTCAGAAAATTACACAATCTAAATTTCAGAAGCTGTTTTCTTTTGATATAATTTAATAAAGTTGAGAAAAAACTTATACTGTAGATATATACTCCTTTTAAATAATGCTTCAATCCAGAAGAATTTAAAGCACCTAATATACTTTTAAAGTTTTTGTTATGTATTCATGAACAAATCTTGATTTCACCTATACTTAAGACATTTTCTAAAATGTTCACTTACATTTTTGTGATTAACACATTTCATAAGAACTAGCTCTCTGTAAGCCCGTTTAGCATGAGTCTGATTCTGAAATGGCCGGCTTAGCTTCTTGATTGCAACATTTCTTTCAAGAATGGCATCATAAGCTGCACTGTAACAAGAAATTCAAAAACAACAAAAAAACTTTAAAATCTGCAAAACTGAATTTATGAAACATTCATGCAGACTCCTTACTTTCTCCAAAGATAAAATGCAACTGTATCAATTTCCAATCTTTGATATTCAATATGTTTCTTCTATACCTATTATAGCATATTCCAACAGTGTATAGCATTGTTCTGTTTCTTAAAATGTTAATATATTCAATGGACTGTGAAGACAGACACAGTGATTGTTCGTTGGGTGTCCTCCAAGATCCACCTAGCATACAATGGGCACTCAATGCACAAATATTTAATGAGTATTCAGGTCCAATAGATAACTTTAAGAGTAATGAATTCTTCACCCTGCACCTACACCAAGGAAAGTCACAATTAAAGAACACATGTGGTCACGATTAAAGAATACATGTGGTCGGGCGCCTGGGTGGCTCGGCTGTTGGGCTTCTGCCTTCGGTTCAGGTCATGGTCCCAGGGTCCTGGGACCGAGCCCCACATCGGGCTCCCAGCTCACTGGGAAGCCTGCTTCTCCCTCTCCCACTCCCCCTGCTTGTGTTCCTGCTCCCGCTGTCTCTCTCTCTCTCTCTGAAATAAATCAATGAAATCAAAAAAAAAAAAAAAAAAAAAGGATACATGTGGTCATAAATTCTACCCAAATACTTCCTGAAGAATTCTACATAAGTAGATCACTTCCATTTCCTTGGACACAACAAAATGAATGCAGAAAGAGAAAAGAACACATAAATAAAGGTATATTAAAGGTTATTTTACAATATAGGAAGTACTTAAAATTTGGGAGGAAGAATTAACAACTCAAGTTTACAGATATAAATGCTAGATCTCAGGACATTAGAAGCTGCTTCGTAACTGTTAAAGAAACGCCTATAATTCTGCGACATATAACATCATCCTCATTACTCTTCATATTTTCTACCATATGACACGGACTAAACAGCATGTTTTGCAAATGACAGATCAGAGAAAGTAAAGCACAAATAAGGAAAAGCATCTTAAAATTATAGAATATTATGATTGAAAGAGACTTTAAAAATCATTTGAATTCACCACTGCCAGGAGGTTAATTTGCCCAAGTTAGTCAGAAAGTTAAAAGCAAAGCTGAGACCAAAAGACTAAGACATGAGGTTATCGCTTTTCATACTGGACTACCTAACATACTGTAAGACTTCTATTTATGTGATATTTGGAAAGTTAGCACATTGCTGAATGAAATTATTCTCTCATCTAACTGAAAACTTGAGTTTGTTCTCTAGCTATCTTACTATCTCAAATGTAGTGAAGAAATGTATTAAGACATTGGTACTCTGGCATAAATGGACACATCTATATGTTATATGCCATAACCATTTTGTATATACGTATATATACATACACATAGCAAAACAGACATAAATATTATAACCTTGAGTTAGAAAATGCCATATTTATAGATATGTTCTCCCCAATTTAAAAACAAACAAACATTAGGGGTCATAAAAAAATAGAAGTTTTGACTGTTTCAGATCAAGTATGCTTTATTTTTAAGCATTAAATTCATTCCTATTAATTTTTTATCTGTTAAATCAAAGTAATATTTCAAACTCTAAAGTATCTGAGTAGGTTACAGTACTTTGTATCCAAGGAAGTTAGATATCTAATGTTGATACTTAAATGTGCACAAATTAGAGACCTCAATCCAGACCAGTATGAATCTTACTATCACTGGGCCCAAAATGATGTCTTTAAAAAAAATTTAAGTTCTTCAGTTGATTCTGATGATAATATAGAGTGAGTTTAAAAAAAAAATTTTTTTTTGAAGATTTATTTACTTATTTTAGAGAGAGAGTGAGAAAGAGTGAGAGAGAGAGAAAGAGAGAAAGCACACGGGGGGGCGGGTAGAGGGAGAGAGAAACTTAAGCCGACTCCACATTGAGTGCAGAGCCCCATCTCACAACCGGGAGATAATGACCTGATCTGAAACAGAGTCAGATGCTTAACCAACTGTGCCACCCAAATGCCCCCAGAAAACACATTTTTATTTTTATTTTTTAAAAAAATTAATTTATTTGAGAGAAAGAGAGAGAGAGAGAGCGCATGTGTGTGCATGAGCATGGGGGGGGGGCAGAAGGAGAGGGAGAAGCAGACTCCCCACTGAGCAGGGAGCCCAACACAGGGCTTGATCCTAGGACCCTGAGATCACGATCGGAGCTGAAGGCAGACGCTTAACCAACTGAGCCACCCAGGCACCCCACAAAAAACATTTTTAAACATTATTAAGAAGTTTATAAATATTTTATTCCTTACAACCACCATGTAAATTAGGTGAGAACACTGGCTTAGAAGTGTTAACTTGCCATGAGTCACAAATACATCATAAAGCTAAAATCTGAACCACGAGCTGGCTTTCAGAATCCTTCCTGTATTGACTGTAGCACATTATTTTCTTTAAATTTAATTTGTGGTTTATTAAATATGGTTGGTTAAAATGACAACCAGCCAGCCAATAATGCTTTATAAAATTACCCAAATTCTATAATTTTTGGTATTACAAATTACTTCAAGAGTACAGAAAGAGAATAAATGCTACTGTTCCCATTAGAGAAATCTGTTATTTTAGTATTTTACCATAACTGCAATTTTTTTTTTAAAGTAGGCTCCACACCCAGCACGGAGCCCAACACGGGACTCAAACTCAGGACCCTGAGATCAAGACCTGGGCTGAGATCAAGTGTTGGACGCTTAACTGACTGAGCCACCCAGGTGCCCCAAAGGTTGAATTTTTTAAAAAGTAATATATTATCACAGGTAAAGTCCCCTCCCTTGTCTCTATTTTCAGAGGTAAGCATTATTCTGAGTTTGGTGTTTATTAATGGCTTTTATACTTTCCTACATATGGATGCATCCATAAATATATGGTCCTATTTTGCATATTTTAAACTATATATAAATGGTACAATAATGCATATATATTCTGCATCTTCCTTTTTAAACTCTACATTTCTGAGACTGTCTTTGTTGAAACATACCTCCAGTTCATTTTAAATGTTGTATAGTATTTCACTATATGAATATATCACAATTTTTTATTCTCATGGATAGACTTGCTGCTGTTACCAATTTTTGCTATTATAAATGGTGTTGCAAAGAATAGTCCTATGCATGTCTCTTTATGTACATGTGCAAGAGTTTTTCTAGAACCTGGGAGACCTGCAGGGTCATGAACACTTATTATTTTTTTTAATATATTCTGAAATAAATCTGGTTTAAGGAGAGGTAATATATAATTATGCCAGAGTGAGGCTTAGAATTCCCCCAAACATTAGCTTATTATGCTAACTCAGTTATCTAAAATCATTAGCAGAACTGTCCTAAAGTGTTCTACCCTTTATTTTATAAAGAATTATGTTGGGGCACCTGGGTGGCTCAGTCAGTTGAATGTCCAGCTCTTGGTTTCAGCTCAGGTCACGATCTCAGGGTCATGAAATCAGGCTGCATTGGGCTCTGTGCTCAGTGGGAAGTCTGCTTGAGCTTCTATCCCTCTGCCCCTCCCCCTGTGCGTGCACTCTCTCTAAAACAAATAAATCTAAAAAAAAAAAGGAATTACGTTGATCTAGAAAGCCTAGGCCTTTCATAGAAATTAGCCAGTAAATCAATTTTAAAGATACATATGAGTTCTGAAACACATTCAATGAGATTTCCTTAATGCAAAGTAAGATTTCTGAAATTTCAGTTTCATTATAGTGTGAAAGTGATGATTAAGTCAATCTTCTTATTAAACAACTAGCTATGGGAATAGATATATACATGGAATTAACAAGCATGCCACTTATTCTTTCCTGATAATACTTGTCTTTACGTGGCTTGTGACAAAGTATTTAATCATACTTTATATTTAAAGATGGCAGTGCTGTTCTCTCTCTGTCTCTATGTCAAATAAATAAAATTAAAAAAAAAAAAATCTTTAAAAAAAAAAAGGGGGCGCCTGGGTGGCTCAGACAGTTAAGCATCTGCCTTCAGCTCAGGTCATGATCCCAGCATCCTGGGATAGAGCTCCACATTGGGCTCCCCGCTCAGCAGGAAGCCTGCTTCTCCCTCTCCTACTCCCCATGCTTGTGTTCCATCTCTCTATGTCAAATAAATAAAATTAAAAAAAAAAAAACTTCTAAAAAGATGGCAGTGATTTATAAAGTTGTGTTTAATGAATAATAAAGGCAATCAACCTGCGAACAAAACAGTTTGCCATGTTATAGCTTTAATTTAAACTTTATTAAAAGTTTTAATTATTTGAGGCAAGTTAAATATTTACCAAGGTATATATACGAAAAGATGGCAGTTAATGATTCTTTGCCTAATTTTTGGAAGTAAAAACTTACCATACTATTCCTTGAGCTCCTGAGCCTATAGGTTTTAAATTCTGATACCGTTTCAAGACTGTAAACGTAGAATCTCCAATCTCTACACTATAAAAATTGCTGTCACGCTTGCTTCTGCTCATGATGGCAAACAATTAATTTAATGGCTTCATCCAAATAGTCACCAAGAAGCTGCAAAATGGAATAAAATGTGATGTTAACAAAATGAATTTATTTAATCTTAAAATTCACGTCCTCACTTTGTTCACTGATAGTAATACAGATTGCTATACCATGTTAAAAGAGCTGCTTCATTAAAACACAATTAGAAAGAAAAAAATACCAGAGTTTGGTTAGCATCTGCTATACTTAAGGATATGATTGATCGTTAAAAACAAAACAAAACTTTTACAAGGGTTAACAGTTTCTCCACTACAAGTCACTAGTATTAATATGCATACATGTCTTAACTTACCGGAAAACTATAAAAACAAACAAAAAAAGCAAATAATTAAACGAAACATGTTTTTAAGGTCACTTTCATAGCTTAAAATTTAAAACCAGCCCTTTTTATATATTTCTTTTTTTTTTAATTTTATTATGTTATGTTAGTCACCATACAATACATTAGTTTTTGATGTAGTGATCCACGATCCATTGTTTTCGTATAACACCCAGTGCTCCATGCAGTAC